CACCCGACTAGCAATAAAAAATACGCAGGAACTAATTACAAGAACTTGTGCGGAGAATACTAAACAGCTGTTCTTGTTATCCTTGTGTACTTGTCACCGAACTACAAGATCCAGCGCTACGGCTGAAGGCGCAACCTCAGTGAGCAGTGCATTCAACAGGTTGTTTACCTCTGTGTGGCGTTGCGTACAGAGTGAAGATTCTTTACTGAACATGCCAGCGTGTTTATGGAAGGACGATACAGTTTCGAACCTTATTAGACTTCTGTGAAACTAATTGCACCATCTGTAACTTTATCAGTCGTACTGAAGTTAGCAGTAACGAAAACCCGTCGCTGGTTCCCTTACAAGCGTTCTGCCCAACTGGGTGGAGCTGATTGTTTTCTTGCACCGGTAACGTTTCAAGAATGGAAGTAGTCTAAAATCAAAATAAAATTGAAATTACTTTTGTAAAAGCTCAGGACAGTGATTTTCGTTGAAACTAATGCAACTTGTAAGATATTTGACTAGTCTTTAAGTCACATACTCCAATCACAGTGACCGCGCGGTCTAAGGCATGAACTGTCTTCGCTCCCTCGAACAATGAGATAGAGGGTTCGAATCCCTCTCAAAGCATAATGTCTGTGTGTATTTAATCTGTGTTTGTGTTGTTCGGTATGTAGCTATAGGCCTTGCGAAGGCCTGATCCCACATCTAATGAGTCCTACCGACCATATATAGAATCAAGGAACTGAAAAAGCGGCCAAAGCCCAACAAAGAGTGCAGAACTATTATTATTATTATTATTATGTCACATAGTGGATCCACCACGGATATCTTCGTTTCTGGTCTTGAATGCCTTACTTACCCATGGAGCTGAAGCCTTCTGCAGGAGCCGCCAATTTTGAAGCTACTCAAGAATTTCCCAGTATTTTATGGAACCAAAAGGTTCATTACCGTGTTCACAAGAGCCCTCCACCGGTCCCTATCCTGAGCCAGATCAATCCAATTAATACCATCCCATTCTATCTCTGTAAGATCCATTTTAATATTGTCCACCCACATATGCCTTGGTCTTCCATGTGGTCTCTTTCCTTCTGGCTTTCCCACCAATAACCTATACGCATTCCCCGTCTCCCCTATTCGTGCTACATGCCTTGCCCACCTCATTCTCCTTGACTTGATCATTCTAATTATAATTGGA